AAGGGCGCGACTGGTACTTAGGGGGCGTGGCTAATCGGGTGAGAGGCGGAGCCTGGGAGGGGCTTGATGACTGAGTGAGCAGGCAGCGCCGCGGGGAGCCTGCGAAAAGGCCGGAAAGATGGCAGCCTCCTGGAGGCTAGGCTGTGACCGGCGGATGCTGCGCTCTCTCCTAGGCTTCGGCACCCGGCGAGGCCTGGGGCTGGTTACGGGGGCTGCTGGGTGGCCTGCCGGCGGCGGGGCTGCTGGGAGATGGCTTCACAGCACGCAGTGGCTGCGGGGTGAGTGGTCGCGGCTTGCTCGGCTTCTCTGTGGAGCTGAACGCTGGGCCTGGGTCAGGCAAGGCTGTTTCATGGAGGGCCTGCATTTGGGTGCGGAGGGACTCGGGCTCTCTTTTCCCTACTCGGGCTCTCTGTTCCCTACTCGGACTCTCTGTTCCCTACGCGGACTCTCTGTCCCCTGGGTCTTCTCTCGGGACGGGGGTCAGCTGACTTGGCCGCCTGGTAAGTGCGTGCCCCGAAGGGCTTCCTTGGGAGCTGGGAGAGCCTGACTGTCTGTGGCCCCCGGGTTGGTATGGCTTCCCTTGACCTTGCCTTGGAATTTGGGTGTTTTTTTGGAAAGGCGCGAAGATAAGTCCCAAACGCCCTTCCCTCAGGCCCCTTCCCAGTCGCGTCTCGGGTTCCTTCAGGGTCGTCAGGCGTCCCCGTCAGGGAAAAGCTGCCTAAGTTGCTGAGATTCAAAAAGCCACTTTGGACTGCTGTTCATTCTTGTGGTCTTTGTGGAGCGGGTGGTCTTCTCTGCTAGGCCCTGGGTTGCTCCGCACGACGGGTGCAAAAGACTTGGTTTGTAAATGCCTCCCGCGCGCAGCGCGCCCCGGCCATAGGTCCGGCCAAGCGTGAGCGTGAAAGAGTGAAAAATTAGGCGGGGAAATCAGGTCATGAAGTTTATTATAGGAAATGGGCATTTAGTAATGATAATTGACATAAGTACCAATTCTTCCAGTACTTAACCGTGTATGCATAGGGCATTATTTTTTCTTTACGCGTGGGTGGGGCGGGGTCCATCACTTTTTGAATGTGATGCATTACCTGCCAGTCATTCTGGCACTACACAGAATGAATTTTAATATAAAAAAAATTAGGTGCAGTAGATATTTGCCTACATTCTGGGCCACCCGAGCCTCAGGGGGGTAAAAAATAAAAAAGTTACACAAAGCGACACGGTAAGATGAGTACACTGAGATTGCTAAGGATTTGGTGATGGGAACGACTTATTTCAGTTAATTCAGATTAATGTTTCGTAAAATACTTGGAACAATGTTTGGTTGTTTGTTTTGTTTTTAACTGTGTCTAGACTTTTCTTTCCTCCCAGTTTATTAACTATTGAACTTTTCCTACAGCCCCCCTCCCCTCCCCGCAGAGAGCTATCTGGGGTTTGGATGAGTTTTGATGTTTTGTGTTGGTGTTTGTTGGGCTACCCTTTGAGACGGACTCACTGCCTTAGAAAAATATTGGAATAGTAAAAGCCCAGGGTTGGAAATAACCTGGGAAGAGTGTGTTTAACCTTGTTTGTAAAACAGATCCTTTTGAGAATGGTTTGGATGATCTAGTCCAGATCGTCTCCACAGAGAAAGGGACATGTGTTCATGCAGGTTCAGAGGCGTTCCTTAAGCCCAGCTGAAGGACACATGCCTTCAGAAACTCACTTAGGCCATCCTTACCTGATGTGTGGTGACATTTGACCCTCCCCCTGCCCCCCACACGGTGAACACTACCTCTGCTTGAGCATCTTCTGTAAGGAAGAGGACGCTGCACCCCAAGGAAGCTGTATTCTTTTCCCAGGGCCGCCCTGTTGCACATATAAAGACCCTTGTGGTTACATTGGGTCCGCGAGGGTAATGTAGGATGCTTTCCCGTGTCAAGGTCAGCTGTTGAGCAACTTTAGCTCCTTCGTAAACCTTAACTCGCCCTTGCTATGTAACGTAACGTATTCACAGGTTCTGGTTGTTAGGACCGGGCCATCTTTTATGGGGTGGCAGTGAAGGGGGGCTGTGGACATTGTTCTGCCCGCCACAGAAGCTGGTTGTGTTGTTGGGTAGCTCCAAGTTATTTGAAAGTTTAGGATTATTTTTTTTCTTTCATACTGAGCCAAAATTTGTCTCCTACCTTTTTACCTGCATGCTTTTGTTTTGCCATGCTCCTGGAGCTGCAGCCCTAACTTCTGTTACAGGCCTTATTCTTAAGGTGGGTATAGTCTTCTTGGGGAAGTAAAGAATAATGGCATGATTTCAGTAATGTGTGTAGTGAGCTCTAAGAGGTAAGTTAAGGATATTACGGGAGAACATAAGAAGGCTTCCTAAAGGTGGCAGCCCTCCCAGGCTAAAAGAACAGCAGATGCAAAGGCCCAGTTGCCAGATGTGTATTTACATAAGTGACATAGCATCTGTAAACAGGTTTTCAAACTAGTCTAGGCAGTTAATTTTGAAGAGTTTCCATCACTGCCCTTTTAGACTGAATGGCATGATTTTGAATTTAATTAATAGCTAAGATGTTAATATTGGTTTTAAGTTCTTCCTGAGGAATAACATGTTAAATTTAAAATAACGTGAGGAGAAAAATGAATGAGGCTCAACCTATGCAGTGCTTTTGCCTAATATATAGCTACAGGCCTTGCGTATTTTGGGTGTTAAATAAACATCTAGGGAAACTAAAAATCTGAAAAGTTAGAAAAGAATACAGAGGTCCACACTATGATTGCAAATTGGCAGCCAATGAACTGACCTATATCATTTTAGAAGAAAGTTAAATTTATTGACAACATTTACAAACTAGAAACTGCCCTCGCTGGTTTCTCAGTGGTTAGAATGTCGCCCTCAGACTGAAGAGTTGAGGGTTCCATTCCAGTCAGGGGCATGTACCTTGATTGCAGGGTTGGTTCCCAGCCCCTGGTCAGGACGGGTGTGGGAGGCAACCAATCGATGTGTCTCTCTCACATGGATGTTTCTCTCTCTCTGTCTCTCCCCTCCCTTCCACCCTTTCTAAAAATCAATGGCAGAAAAAACATCCTTGGGTGAGGATTAATCCCAGATAGATAGATAGATAGATAGATAAAATGAAGAATTTTTATGTAAAAATCTAGATTTTTGTCTTTTCTTGAAAATTTAAATTTAGGGTCTATATCAGTGATGGCAAACCTATGACACGCGTGTCAGAGGTGACACGCGAACTCATTTTTTTTCGTTGATTTTTCTTTGTTAAATGGCATTTAAATATATAAAATAAATATCAAAAATATAAGTCTTTGTTTTACTATGGTTGCAAATATCAAAAAATTTCTATATGTGACACGGCACCAAAGCTAAGTTAGGGTTTTTCAAAATGCTGACACGCCAAGCTCAAAAGGTTCACCATCACTGGTCTATATGGTGACAGTTAGTTAAAATTGAGTAACGATTGTTCTCTTTAGGTAGTAAATTGCTTTCTAGTTTACCACCTTCCACTATTACTTCCCAGCCAGCAAGGCTCTATGTGCCTTGGTATATGTCATCACCTCTAGTTGTCATTTCTTTCTTGTATCTTTATCTGTTGTAGAAAGCAGAAGACAAAAGGTAGACCAGGAAAAGTAGCAGAGGACAGATACTGTGTGTATAGAAGGGAAGGGAGTTTTTACAGATTTAATATGAACATAAAGCATGTCTAGATTTAAAGGAAAAAAGCATTAGATGTTGCTAGCCCATTTCTTTCACCTGATTGTTCCCTGTAGCCGCGGTTGGCAAACTTCGGCTCGCGAGAGGGATAGAGAGTTTAAAAACATTGATGAGAGAGAAACATCGATCAGCTGCCTCCTGCACACCCCCTACTGGGGATGTGCCCATAACCAAGGTACATGCCCTTGACCACAATCGAACCTGGGACCTTTCAGTCCACAGGCCGATGCTCTATCCACTGAGCCAAACCAGTTAGGGCGGCATCTGAGTTTTTGATAGCAGTTCAGTGACAGGCAGATTCTTTGATAAGAGTTGATGGTACAGTATTTCTGCCAAAGCATGAATACCATTTTAGGCCTGATCCTTATTAAGTGCTTCTATGCTAATACTGATAAGACTGATACTGTTCTTTGAATTGTTTAAATGTGGCAACAAACAGAATAGCTGAAGTAAAAATAAGATTTATTACTAGGATACGGTAGCACATATATGAAGTGCTGCTGGGCCATGGGGGAACTATGATGATTTCATCCATTTCTTCTATGGTTCCCAATGCCCGTCTTTCTCTCTTTCTTTGATTTACTTTGTTTTTCTTTGTAAACTTGCGAATCTGTTTACTCATGGCTTTCCTTTCTTCATAATGCCAGCTTGTCTTGCCTTAATCCTGATTCAGGCCCTATGCCGCACGCTCTTTCAGTTTAGTTTAAGTGGGCACTACTTCTTTGATCTAATTCCAGATTCCCTGGAGTGAAGCTGTTGACCCATTGTAGGTCAATCATACCAGAGCACATAGGGCAGATTCTTTCAAAGGCTGTGGTTTGGACATTTTCTTTTTAAAAAGGAAGTATGAGTTGGGAATCACTGATTGGCATGTCTGTTACTATGACAGGTAGATTAAAGTAGAACAGTAGTGAAGTGCTTCTTAATTTTAATTGTTTCTCTAGGGTAAGTAATGGCTAAGTATGATCATCTAAGCAAAGCAAATCTAGGCTAGTCAGCAGTTGAGAGACGCCCCTTCTTTTCTCCCTGACATTGTTGGTTTGTGTTTAAAAATAACAAGAACGAAACTAAACTTTTCTTTTAGATGTTAGATAAGTTTGGGGAGAAAGTGAAATTAGGTAAATTTATTGTAGAAAGTTAACATCCTGTATAATAAAAGCCTAATATTCTAAGTGTCCAATCGGCCATTCAACCAAAGCGTAATATGCTAATGATATGCTAAGGCTGCTCAACCACTTGCTATGATGTGCACTGACCACCAGGGGGCAGACACTCCAACCGGTAGGTTAGCTTGCTGCTCGGGCCCAGCCTATTGGAACTGAGCTAGACAGGCTGGACACGCCTGGAGCCCTCCCGCAGCCCCTCCCCAGGTCCCAATTATGCACCAGTGAGGGTCCCTCAGCCTGGCCTGCACCCTCCCGTAGTCCAGGACCCCTCAGGAGATGTCAGAGAGCCGGTTTGGGCCGGTTCCCACAGGCCAGGCCAAGGGACCCCACTAGTGCATGCATTCGTGCACCAGGCCTCTAGTGTAGGCTATAAAAAACAAAGGTAATGAAAACCACTTAGAACAGCAGTTCTCAACCTGTGGGTTGTGACCCTTTTGGGAGTCAAACGACCCTTTCACAGGGGTCGCCTAAGACCATTGGAAAACACATATATAATTACATATTGTTTTTGTGATTAATCACTATGCTTTAATTATGTTCAATTTGTAACAATGAAATTGGGGGTCACCACAACATGAGGAACTGTATTAAAGGGTCGCGGCATTAGGAAGGTTGAGAACCACTGACTTAGAATAATATCACCATCTAGATATATCTATTATTGTCATTTTGGAGCATATCCTTTCAGTCTTTTTGTACAAGCTGAGCAGGTAGTAGAAATTAGATTATGCCATATATACTGTTTGGGGCATCTCTTACATGTTTTGTACCATGCCAAGACTTATAAATGCTATTGTCATACAGACTGTTATGCATGCATTTTCTATTGTCATCCATTGATATTTTCAGTGTATTTCTATTACCCATATACTCCATTCTGCTTTATTTTATTCAGCCTGCAGGTGGCAGAATTGTTTTCTTTGTATGGAAGTTTTAAAGGTTCAATTAAACTTAATGAGTTCTTGCCTTGAAAAGAGAGGTAATTAAATGAGCAGTATCTCTCCCTATTAGAGAAGGAAATTAATGTTAGGAACAGGGAGCCATACTAAGAAAGTACTGAGTAATTTCCTTCTTCATTGGTCTATCTGCATTTCATGATTTTTGTGTTTGGATTCTAGTGGTATAAATGGGCCAGAATAACTCTCAAGCTGTACCCTGTATAAACTGCTGAATTCCTTAATTACGCTAGTCAGCATAATGGAGCTGAGATCTGCTTCATGTTAGCCATAAAGCAATTTGATCTGCATATGTATGCGTATATTATCTTTTTTCTTTTTTTTTAATCTTGAGAACTTTTAGAACTGATCTAGATCATCAATTTAAAGCTTTGATATCATTGGTTTTGCCTGACTTAGAAGTGTTTTGCTCTTAGGGCAAAATAAATACTTTAAGGAATAAGAAACTAGAATTTGATCAGTGTACTATATTTGATGTGGAAGGCAGAATTATGCTGTAGAAAGATTGGAAGAGCAAATTTGAAGAAATGTAAGAATTGCTTAGAGAACTGCTATACAATTCAGTGATTGAAAAATTGCTTGTGTGCCTGATATAGCAGGTAAAGCAGCAATATGCTAAGCAAAACAATTTAATTTATTATGTCATTCATTTGATGAAAAAGAAAAAAAGATTAAGACAGTTTGAATGACTTGGGAGACTCTACTTTTAAAATCAGCATATAGCCCTGCTGGTGTGGCTCAGTAGTTGAGTGTTGACCCAAGAACTGAGTCGCCAGTTGCATGCCCGGGTTGCATGCCCAGGTTGTGTGCTCAATCCCCAGTAGGGGGCGTGCAGGAGACAGCCAATTGATGTTTCTCTCCCTCTCCCTTCTCTCTCTAAAAATCAATGAAAAAATATTTTTAAAAATTAAAAATCAAATCAAATCATAATATATATTTAATTTACATATACTCTGAAAATGTGCATTACTGTAGTTATTTTGAATTTTTTTTAAATTGCTACAGAAGGACAGACTTTATTAGCCATTGTAGTTTGTTAGCTTGATAGAAAGAAATAGACCACTAAAATGACTACAAAGGGATTAAATTCTAACAAAAAATTGGGGGTGTTTTTTAAAGTTAATTGTGGCGTTTTTACTAATTGAAATAGCCTGAATGACCAGCAGGATGGGGAAAGACCACACTTCCTTTATTCTTACCCACGAGTGTGCCCAGTTTTTCATAGGAAATATAACTTGGTGCACATTTCAAGGCCTCCTCAATTTGACAGGAGAAGGGTAGAATGTACTGCTTACTGGAATGAAAAGGGAAACTATATTTGATTTCTATTGAGATTAAACAATATTAGGTATAGGTTAAAATTCTGAGAGGCCCAGCAAAGCCCACACTATCTCTGGAATTTATGGCAACCATAAAGGGTGGATATTAATTATGTGCAGCTCTGTCACTCAAAGCTGATATTATGCTTGTATAATTACTTTCCCACTGGAAAAATACATTTGAAAAAGATGTGTATAATGTTCCAGTTGAAAGAGGATATATATTAGAATGAAATATGTACCATTATTAATAAATTAATGCTTATGTTTGAAATTATTTTCCAACATGACAGTTTGAGGATAGATTGGTTAGATTAATCAGAAAATACAAATGGAGGAAAAAAGAAGACATATATAATGGTTTAAACAATAAAGAATTTTTAAAAAAGTAAATACATTGCACATTTTACTTTCCATAGTAAGCCAGTATGATCAATCAAAAGATATTACTGAATAATGGAGATGTCTAAAATGTCTGTCTTTGTTTTTTGTCACCTTCATTTCAGAATAAGGGTAGTGATTTATTACACAATTTTTAATATTTTATTGTTATTATTCAGAGGAGCAATTTCAATTTATCCATGAAGGCTGGCTGTATTAGGAATGATTATATTCTTTTTATTTTAAAATATGAACAATTTTGCGGCTTTTGATGTGGTAATTTTGAAAACAATAATAAATGCAGAAGTTTTATAATATAGTCCTCATTGTCAGGAATAATGGAAATGTGAAGGTCTGTTAGGTGAGAGATTATAACGGCAGAAAGAATCATAAAATAAATACGAATTGTATCACGGCAGCTAGAACCAAGATATAAAAATATTGAAGACAGACTTTGTTTTGAGAAAATTGATTTAGTGTTTGTCATAAATTAGAATCTGTACTCAGAAGCAATGAGCTCCATTTATTTTGCTTCTTTGAAGTGGAACTCTATTTGATATAAATTTAATATGTATGTGCCTATGAAATATTCTCTCATAATGCCAGCCTTGACCTTTTTCTTAGAAGCAACAAACTGCGATTTGTTTTAAGCTGTGTCTTTCAAGGAGAGGCTGGCCTCTTACCATGGTGCTATTAGATTGTAGGTTTTTTTAATATTGGTTTTCATTTTCAAAACCTAATTCTCAAAAATTAAATGCTCAGGCTTAGGCTGGCTGGACATTCTGTAGGTAAATGTGCTTGTTTGTTTTTCATTACGCCATATAAACATTTTCATTTCATGTAAAAAGTGAAAAAGGTGATATATGTACCTAGAGGTACCCCTCCAAGTAGGCAGTTCTTAAAAGAAAATGAGGAAAAGACAAAGGCAAGTATTCACTCAGGTCTTTTCCCCAGACCTTTAGAGAGGAAGGGGTGAAAAAGGGACAAGGACAGAAGCTTCCTTCCAAATGCTTCAGAGGAATTCCTTGATCAGGAAGCTGTTGGAACTCTTCATTTGAAATTATAGTAAAATTCCTTCAGTTTCCCAAAGAAAATAATTAACTTCATTTAATATTAGCAGTAAGATATTCCACATTTGAAATATGATAGATATGCAGTTGTGTTTTGATTGCCGAATAATCTGAGGGGGAGAATAGGTTCTATGAAAGATTTCATGGACTATAATTTGTTACCATGGCTACTGCTAGAGCTGGAGCATGCTGTTAACAATTTTATTAGTATAAACTTTATATAAATTGTGATCTTGCAGCTGTGTGCTCTATGAACATGGTCCTGTTTAGTGGGTGACTATTGGGAAGCACATCTGGGCAAATATATAGCGCATCTCCTTTTCTGATATCTAAGGAAGAGCTGTGCTTCATTGAGTGGTCACCCTGGTTTGAGTCTACCTTTTTGTATCCCCAGTTGAATGGTGGTGTGGAACACAATCTGAGGTTAATTTAACTAACCACTTGGTTCACTTGCCTGGTCAAGCTTGACAAAGCATACCTTTGCTTTCACATATACTAGCAAGAACCTTTGATTCTTGAATAATATAATATTAGAGGAAAATAAAAACACAACCAGTTTGTTAAAGTCTAATCTTGATTATTTGTTGTAGGTTATCAGAACCCTAGATACTTTTTCTTATCTTTCTCTTTGATCATTTTATTTGTAAATATTTTTTTGCATCAACAAAAGGGATGGAGAAAATGAAACATAAATCAACTTTCTATTTTTAATCTTATAAACATCTGGCTTAAAAATATGCACAGAATACTGGGGAACTATGAGAAAGGAGTTGAAAATATTCAAAAAAAATATTTTTAAAAAGTTGAGAATTTCATGTTTCTATACTATTTCCTGGATACTTAGTTTGACCAGTTGGGAGTCTTTTCAACTTTGGAATATTTTCTTTCTCAAATTGAATTTGATACTAATTTACTTGAACTTTCTAATGATGCTTTGTAAGGTGCATTGTATTTTTGTGGCTAATCTTTCCTTTTTTCAATTTTAGCTGATCCTATTAAGATACTAATGCCATCCCTGTCTCCAACAATGGAAGAAGGGAACATTGTGAAATGGCTGAAAAAGGAAGGTGAGCAAGTACATTACTACTGTCTTGTGTTATTTGATTATTTTTAAAAATCAGTTGTATTATTTTTAATACAGAGGCAGAGCAACATCGAACAGATTGTCAAACTACAGCGGGAAGGCTGGGGAGGGTTGGGGGTGGGAGAGGGCGGGTAAGAGATCAACCAAAGGACTTGTATGCATGCATACGAGCATAACCAATGGACACAAGACACTGGGGGGCATGGGAGGCTAGGGGAGGGTCAATGGGAGAAAAAAAAGGGAGACATATATAATACTCTTTGTAATACTTTAAGCAATAAAACAATTTAAAAAAATCAGTTGTATCACATAGTACATGGTAAATGCAGTAAATTGGGTTCCTCTTCTAGTTAAGTTTGTTTAAACAAAATTTTCCATGTTAGTGTAGCAGAAATTTTCTGGGTTCAGCCTGTAACCTTCCATAAGCTGAGAATGGTAAAATATTTTAAGGTTTTTTTCCTCCCAAGTTTTAGTTCTTATACTTAACTTTTAGTTTCAACATCATAAATTTGTTCCTAGAATTTGAGAAAGACATGTCATATAATTGAAACAGCCAGTGCTTCAATAGGAAGAACATTGAGTATTTGGCTCTGCATGGCTGTTGCCATCATTTAAAATTGTTATCAGTATCTAAGAAAGTTTCATCTTTATTAAAAAAAATGTAATTACTTGGAATCTATTTTTAAATTTCCTTTTCCTGATAAATTGCAGAGCTTTGGCTATTTCCATGTTCAGAATGATAGAGTGTTGGTATCATTAAATAGTAATTGAGACAAGAACAGCCTTTCGGGGTTACTATAAAAGATTAAATTTTTTCACACTTTGAGAACTGATAGGCAAGTAGATAAGAGGATTCTTTGGACCACATTTATCTCTCAGACTTCTAGCTCACTGGTGATCTGATAAGTTATTCACCACCATTATATGGAGAGTATGATGAAGAGCCAAGAGACAAGTCGTCGCATCATTCTGTTCTTTTTCCCTTTTGATTACAATGTGCGATTTTAGATAGGACAAGCCAAGATGTACTTTAAGCCATGGAGCACATTTTCAAGGAGATTGCTCTTAAAATTCCATGTTTTGTTAACTGAGGAGGAATGTTTCTTTGCTAATACACTACAAATAATTGAGAGCAATATTAATCCTTGGTTCTCAATTCACTGGCTTCTTTTTTAAGTTCATCGCCTTTATGATTTAATTGAGAATAATTTGCTTTTAACATTTATGTGCTGTACACATGGGTATGATTGTATATGTCTAAGTATGTTTAGTACTTGATATATTTATAATAACTTGGCTCAGTCATTCCGTATTCAAATCATTTATTTTCTGGCAGCAAACTTTTTACATGCCTTTTTCTCTTACTAGCTATGTGTTTAAAATTTATCTTGAGATCTTATTAATGTATGATCACCATTATTTAAAACAATGCGTATAGACCTTTAAACGTTAAGAGGATTGAAATTTTTTTCATGAAAAGGAAGTGTTGTATCTAATTATGAATCTGATTTGTTTTGAAGGAAGGTTAATGTGGTAACTTTTAATGGATAGCAGTTCAGTCTTCAAATTTTCTTGAAAATCTGAGACTGTTATTCACAGCTACTATTACTAAAGTCGTGTTTGTGTTTTAAGGCAAGGCACTAGTGTGCAGTGAAAAGAATGCTGGCCTAGGAATCATGGTTTGTCTTCTGAGGTTCCCACTCTGCCATGAAATATCTGGGAATGAGTTGAACTAGATGAGATGTAAGGTATATTCCTGGCTTTATAATTCTCTAATAACTTAATTTCATTTTCTTGTTTTTTTAAGTCACAAAAACATGCAAATAATATAGCATATAAATTATTCCCATCTTTGTTGCTCTGATGACTGTCTGAAAAGTAGTTTTAGAATGAGTGTTAGAATACTTCATTTCCATCCGAGGATTCAGTAAAGAATATGCATCATAAAATTAGTAGAGAAAACACTTCAGAAGTGCTAGGTAACACAGCGTCTCTTGAAAGGTGAGTTGAGCTGTATGTAATCCCACAAGTTTGTTATTGGGGTGGAAAGTGTGCTTCTGACATTTTCGGTTTAATTAAAGGTCAATTTTGTTAAAAATTTTTTAAAAAAAGAAAATGTTCTTGTTGCCCCTTTGGTGAGAGAATTTTTGAGTGGATGAAAAACATTGTTTTCTTTCTTGAGATATTTAAGAGCATCTTCTGAAACACTGGCACAGAGCCAGGCTGAGACAGTTACGTGGAGAACTTGGCCACGTGGTGTCTGGAACACACGGAGTGTGCTTCTGCAGTGCTGGTCGCTGCTGCTGCTCTCGGTGTTACCTCTCTTCCGTCATTTATGTGGCTATTCCTTCTGTCATGGGTCTGGGAATGTTTAGGTCGTGTTGTGTTCGTTGTAAACTATAATGTAGTGTGTAAAATTCAGAAGTAAAGCTGTCTTGAAGGAGTTTGTCACTGAAGTGTTATCACTCGGTACCACTAGAAGTTGTATGGGTATCTGACATCTGCTGCTAGAAGAGGCTTTGATTTTTATTTATTTGGGGTGTTTTTATAATGTGTTTGTGGTGCTAAAATGGAAATTTTTTGAAATGGGTATTTCCCGAATATCAATTTTTTCAGTATACTTCTATTTTAACACAGCTTTATTGAGGTATAATTTACACAACAAGACATTTACCTATTTTAAGTGCACAATTTAATGACTTTTAGTAAATATATAGTTTTGCAACCATCATCACAATCCAGTTTTAGAATATTTCCATCACCTCAAAAGATACCTATTGCCTGGTTGCAGTCCCTTTTCCTACATCACTAGACAACCCTGAGCTGCTTTTTGTCTCTAAAGTTTACATATGTCTTTCAGTTTACATATGTAAATAGGATCTATATATACTACCATAGATAGATAGATAGATAGATAGATAGATAGATAGATAGACAGACATATAGATAAATAGAGAGATATATAGCCTTTTGTGACTGACTTCTTCCATTTAGCATGATTTTAAGGTGCTTTCATATTGTAGTATGTATCAACAATTCATTTCTTTTGTTAGTAAATAGTATTCCATCACTGCTTTTTTACTCCTGTTAGTATTTCTGTTATGTCGTTATTTTAGAATTGGTGAATGGAATTTTGGGTTACAGTATTATTCAGTAGAACTTTTAGTGGTGATGGAAATGTTCTTGTCTGCATCATCCAGTACAATAACCATTCACCACGTAGGTCAGGTACCTGTAATGAACAGGGCAATCTATAATAATAAAAGTGTAATACACTAATTAGACCGGACAGCCAAACAACCTTCTGGTCGTCATACCAGACGAAGCCGCAGTGGCAGGGGCCAAGGCAGAGGCAGTTAGAGGCGATGAGGCCAGCAGGCAAGCAATTAGGGGTGATCTGGCAGGCAGGCTAGAGGTTCGGGGCGATCAGGCAGGCAGGCAGAGTGGTTAGGGGCGATCAGGCAGGCAGGTAGAGTGGTTAGGGGCGATCAGGCAGGCAGGTAGAGTGGTTAGGGGCGATCAGGCAGGCAGGTAGAGTGGTTAGGGGCGATCAGGCAGGCAGGTAGAGTGGTTAGGAGCCAGCAGTCCCGGATTGCGAGAGGGTGCAGGCCGGGCTGAGGGCCTCCCCACACCCCTACCCCTCCACCCCCGCACAAATTTCGTGCACTGGGTCTCTAGTAAAATATAAGAGGTCAGGAGAGTGTAAAGGAGTTATCACTTTACCTCGCCATTTCCTTCTCAAACTGCTACTCATGCCCTCAGCCCTCTAGGCAGAACCTCAGATGGCCTAGGAGCCAGATTGCCTGGGGGTCTTGGGCCATGCAAATAATATCTTGTGTCTGATGAAATGAAAAGAGTTGGCAGACTTGCTTACTGGGGGCTGCTCCTCTAGCTTCCCTCACTGCTGTAGGCACTGACTGGGTGGAATTGGCATTGCTGCTTGCTTGTTTGTACTCTTCTTTACTCTGATTAGGGACTTCTTGAAGCAGGTCTAACTTACTATTTTTTACTGAAGTGTCTTATACAATGTCTTACACATAGAGCAGTTAGTAAATATTTGTTGAATAAACAATTGAGTTATTTTTGTCTCTTATCATGGTTGTCATGATGGTTCAACATTGCACAAAGTATTTTTTTCTTTAATGAACATTAAAGTAGTTTTGATTTACTTGGTTGTACAGATAAAAACTAACTTCCCCCTGCCACCACTACTACTACACATTTCTTTTTTTTTTTAACCTTCACTCAAGGATTTTTTTTTGTTTTATTGATTTTAGAGAGAGGAAGTGAGAGAGAAACATTGAGGTGACAGAAAAACATCGATCGATTGCCTCCCATATACACCCCAATCAGGATGGGCCCCAAAACCTGGGTTTGTACCCTGACCAGAATCAAACCTGTGACCCTTCAGTGCAAGGGATGATGCCCCAACCAACTGAGCCACACTGGCTAGGGCTACCACACACAACTTTTAAATGAAGACTTTTATTCTTAATTTTTGTCAGAACAAAGTTATTTTATAAAAGCCACAGGATATGTTTCATTAATAACATAAACACCACCATGAACTGTGTTTCATCAAAACTATACTTCCTACCCAGAATGTTTAAAGAGAAAGGGAAGCCTCTTTTATACTCCGTTCCTCAGCTCTGGCAGCTACCCATCGGGACAAAGGAACAGGATGATGATGCTGGCTTCGGTGCTGGGGAGCGGCCCCCGGGCGGGCCTCTGCTCTGGCCCCTCCTGGGGCCCGCACTCTTGCTCCGGGCCCGCTCCGCCTCATCTGCACCACGAAGAGTTGGCACAGGGACACTGCAAGGCTGTCATCTCTTTCTGCAACCAGTCAGCCATCAACATGGCAGCTGAGGAGCCGCCTGTCACCTCACACCGACCATGGTGCTCTGTCCTAGCTTCTCATCTTCTCTCCACTATTAACTTATGAACAGAACCATATCTTACTGTTGTATTTATACCCAGTGTTTAGTATAATGTCTTGTACATGAATATTTATTGAATGATCTGTTTGAAATAATAGGGTATGGACTAGGGAGCTAGAATGAGTCTTGGTTTTTGATGGTTATTAATAACACACCTAACATTTTCATGGAATGATGTTGTAAAATATTATTTGAAAATGTGTGTGAAGAGTTAACATTTCCTGTTCTGTGGTTTTGTTTTTAATATAGCTGCACATTCAAAACTTTTTTGAGAGTCAGAGAGATTATGTAACTTGGTCAAGAGCTTAGACTCAAATCTGTCTGAGTTGGAAGAGTTCCTTGTAACTATTCTGCCTTGCAGCTTTTCTAATTACAGTGCGAAATTGTGGGGCAAGGCTGCACTGAGTATATTTGGAATCTTCCTGGCTCATTATTGGATCTCAGAATTTTCTTTTGGCATTTACATTATGTTTGGTTAATTGGTAGATAGAACCTTAGTTTCATGATAAATTAAGAGTACTGTGCTCTTACATAATAATATGCTGTTTTAAATGCGACAGTTTGCTGTATACCTTCTGAGAAAATGAGGATGTGTGAAATTATTGTAATTTTTTTCTAAAGTGTTTTAATCTCAAACTCATTATCTGTAAGGTACTAGCCTGGGGAATTAGGTAGACTATAAAATACTTAAGATGTGTCCTGTTCCTATTGTGAAGATGCCCATAGTCTGCTAGATAGAGGGAAACCTAATTTTTTAAAAAAGTAATTAATAGTAGCAACATAATATTTTATAATGCAATTTCTGATTCATTGGAAATAAATTACAACTATAAGAATTCAGGAACAGGAACAAAATCATTTAGGTTGATCTATGGCTGAAGTAGAATTTATGGGTGATTCTTAAAGGATATTTAGAATATGGAATAGGTGAGCTCAAGTGATAAAACATTTTTTCTTTTTCTAGGTCTCTAGAAGAAGTATTTAATTGCTAGGTTGCCTGGTTCAGTTTTTTTCCATGGTTACAGCAGAAACATAAAGGTGTGATATTTTCCTTTTGAAGTACAGTCTATTTTAACTACTAAAACATCTGTCTTATAAAGAAGTAAGAATGTATAATCTGTTGCTGTAGCTTTCTTTGTATGACATGTAATGAACAGTCTTCTTTTAGCTGATTCCTACTTGCCTGACCATCCTAATATCTCAGCCCTTCTCAGGTACTGTTAGGAAGACCCTCCAAAGTTCTCTGTTTTCTTTTGCCCCCAGGACTTTGGGTATGTTGGGCCTTCTGCCTGGTTTACTGCCCATTTACTTCATTATCTCCCCCTCTCTTTTCAGGCTCAGATTAGATGTCCTTTACCTTCCAAATATTAAAATAGATGCCCATTCTGAATATACCCTTAGCATTCTGAGTTCACCTAATCTTATTGTAATTTCCAATTAACTTTTCACTAGAAAGTAAATAAGCTTCTTGCGGCCAGAAATCTTAACTCCCCCCCGCCCCCATCCTTCAATTCTGTATCTTCAGTGCACTAATGAGTTTTCAATAAATATTTGTTCAGTAAAAAAAAATCTCTTTGGAGCCAGACCAAGCACCTTTTCTTTTAGGGTGTTCACTAAATATTATCTAACAGATAAGTTTATTTCATCAATACAGTAAATATTGGTGGTTCTGAACTATTTTAACTAAGAGGTATTATAACCACCTCTGTGAAAATTTTGGTGTGCAATGAAGTAGTTTCTGTACAGTGAACTTTCAGGGTATATTTGTTTTCTTAGTATTTTAGGTTTATCTTCATGTTCTTCTATTGAGTATGCCTATTAATAATGTTGTACCAACTGTTTTTTGGTGTGTGTGTGTGAGGGGTGTGTGTTAGGGTTTTGGCTAGTGATATGGGCTGTGAAAGAATTCCCAACTGAGAGAAGAGATAGAGAGAGGGAGTTGATTTTACTTCCCCAAAGGGGAAAAGGGCCAGTGCATTGTTAATTAGTACAAGGGCAAGAAAACAAAGGGAGCCCTGACTATTGCTAAGCAACAAGGAAGGAAGGATGGAAGGAGAATTTGGGACCTGAAATTGAGCAGCTATGGGGGGGTGGGGGGGTTGTGGTTTGTTTTATTTGTTCTCCTAGGGAGGTGTCATATCAGTATTTTTCCAAGCCTGTAAAACATGCTTAGAGCAAAAGTTATGAGGCTTTCCAAAGAGGCTTGTTTGAAGTGCAGTGGGAAAGGGAAGTTTGTACTAATTATCCCTGAGTTGTAAAAACAGCAGGGAGGAGGTATTTGCAAGCATGTAGCCTTGAAAGTAGCTTATCTTGTCTTGCTATTTGAAAAGGGGCTGTTTGAATCAGAGGAGCTAACAATCTTTGGGTTTAATTACCAGATACTTCTCATAAATTGTGGAAAGCCATAACCAAGAACAAGCAAGCCCCCTCTCCCCCCACTTTTCCTAATAAGTGATCTGTATGTTACATATTTCTTTTGTTCCTTATTCTTTATTGTTTTTGTTTTAGGTCTGTTATAAGCCACATTTATCATATTTTTTAAAAAATTCATTCTGATAACCTCTGCTTTTGCTAGGTAGTTCTAATCAATTTATATTTATTGCTGACACATTTGAACTTATTTCTACCTTTTTGTTTTTATTCTTTTCTGTTTTTCTTGTCATGTGTCTGCCTTCAGTTAGATGTTCGTTTTTATTATTTTCTGTTTCTTCAGCTTTTTGAATTTTGTAGATATTTCTATTTTTCAGTTTTTGGTGTACACTATTAAGTTTTTAAGGAACATATTTTATTAAATGTTGCCAATAAAGTCTAGAATTATTTGGTATTTTTTCCTCCTATCTTTATCAAATTCTTAGCATGCTTTAATGATCATCTGAACATTCCCTTATTCTTCTTATTCCTTTTAAAGTTTTCAGCTTTACACATTTATAAACACTCAGAAATAACCTTTTAAATGATTAATAGTTAACATTTTTATCAGCTTCTCTGCTAATTGTTTCTTGTAGCCCATGGGTTCCCTCTGTGTCCAGATTTCTTGATGAACTATAGTTTGTAATAACTCATCAATAGGTGATAAGTTTTCTTAGCCTTTTATGTCTAAAGAATACTTTTTCTTCATTCTTAAATGATGGTTTGGCCACATGTAAAATTCTAGACAGTTATTTTTCCTCAGCTTTTTGAAGATATTTCTCCATTTTCTTCTGACCTCTATAGCAGCTGCTGAGAAGTGTGCTCTCAGTCTGGCATCCCATTGAGGTAATCTGATTTTTTTCCTCTGAAAGCTTTTATTATTGTGTTTTTGTTGTTGATAGAATGCAATTTCTCTACAGTGTATCTATGTGTATTCATGTTTATACACTCTAATACTTTTTTTTCTGTTTAAACTTTTATCAAGTTATTACTTGCCAGAAAGCATAAGCTCAGTTCATTTTTACATATACATATATTCAGCTAGAGCAAGATATAGAATATTTCCAACAAGCTGCAAGGCTCCCGTACCCCCTCCCAGTCTATACACCATAGATAGCTATATTCTAAACTCATTCAGGACTCTGATTTTGAGGTACAAGTCTCTTCATTTCTGAGAAATTCTCAGTAGTTATCTTTTCATATATTGCATTGCTTCTCCACCATTCCCTCCAGTCTCTTCCCTTGGAACTCCATTAAACAAACATTGTAACCTCAATCTATGTCTAATGCCTCTTCTATTTTTTATCTTCTTGTCTGCCTATATTAAGTTCCAGGTAATTCTTACGCTATCTGTAATTGACCACCAGCTCACTTCACTATGTTCATCTAGAATACACCCCATTGATTGTTTCTTTTTATTTCACTGACTATATTTTTCATTTCCAAGATTTCTAATTAGTGTTTTCATTCTACCTGATACTATTTTATTTCTGTACATTATAATTTTTTCTATCTCTTGTTTTTGTGATGGGTCTTTTTTTTTTCTTTTATATCTCTGAACATCCTCAAGGTACTTATTTTAAAATCTTTGGTGGGTCTCACTGAACGAATTGCATCTGAAATGAGTTTCTGTTGCTATTATTGATTTTATGGTTTTTCTTTCTTAGCATTAAATTTCTTCATATGTTTTTGAACTTTGTTTTGCAACCCACTTTTTAGTGAAAGGTTTTGTGTTTTAATGTCTTCCTTTCCTGTCCCCTACTCTTCCCTTCCTCTATCCTCCAATCAGGGATTTTGCTATTGATATTAGAGATATTAGCAGGTATAGTAATGGAACCAGAAGGTGGCTTGGCTCTGTTCCTGGTATTGAGGCAGAGTTTTTGTTCACCCACCTTCCAAGACCCACAGTTATCCTTAAAGCCACAGTCCTAGTCGGCAGGCGATGATCGCCTCTGTTATCAGCGTTCTATTTTGAGTAGAAGGACCCTGACCCAGTCCTAGCTTCAAGTTGAGAGTCTGATTCGAGTCCCCTGGCTTCATGAGGCCACTTTTAGTTCCCTTTACTCTAAGAGCAACTACTACACCTTACCCCCAATCTGCTTCTAGATCTAGAAACCAGCCAGTCAAGTCCTGCTCAACATTTTTGAGTTTCCCTATTGTTTCTGTTGCACAGAAATGTTTCTTATTTTACCTCATTGTATCTTTGATTATCTCTCAATATCTTTGCTTAATATGATTTGTACATTTATGCTCTGTAGTGCCAACAGATTTTCTGAACTCAACCTACGATGTTAACCCAGAAGTGCTATTAATTGTAAAACTTTTCTTTTCATGGATTAATAGTCAAATTACATTATAAAGGAAGGATTATGGGGTCTGGAATTGATTTGTTCAGAGGAGGATGTGCATTCATTGCTATTCACTGTATATTCATATATACTCTCACACACACATGCAAACACTCATACATACATGATGAAAATTACTTGTAATTCCACACCCTAGAAGTAAACACTGAATATTTTGGTATTTATTATTTCATGTTTTACAAACATATACACATACCAACTCACATACTAAAATTCATATTTTAAAAAACAAAACAAACCCAGTCTTGTTTTGTAGGTGAAGCTGTGAGTGCTGGAGATGCCTTATGTGAAATAGAGACCGACAAAGCTGTGGTTACCTTAGATGCAAGTGATGATGGCATTTTGGCCAAAATAGTGGTAAGTTTTTATTTTAATTGCTTACAACAGATGAAGATTTCTTAAACATTAAGTTCCTTGAAATAAAGTTATCTTTTATTTTTACCTCTTTATTTATAGTGTTCTCTTTGCTGCATAATTTTAAATCCAGGTGTATAAAATATTGTAGTGGTAAGGTTTAATAATAGCCCGTGATGATCAGACCACAGACAACTATTTCACCCTCAACAATAGTACTTGGTGTTTGGGTTTGCTAGTGGGGAATGAGAAGCATTCTGGCCTGAGTGCTGAGAGAAGGCTATTTGAGATGGAATTTGAAAACAAAGCAATAGGGTAAAGCTTAGAAATAGCAATTTCGAAGTTTGTAGTTGGTAAAATAAAAAAGAAGGAATGTTTTACTCTTATCTCAGGAGAATGATAAATCCTATCTTTATTGCTCCCTGGGATGCCCAGGACTGCAGGTATATAAAGCTGTCATCTGCTCAGCTCCTTCCTCTAGACAAGACTGTTTAAAATGTCCTGGGAAGTCTTGTCCATAGGTTTCATAGTCACACTCACTGAACATTCTTACTCTTTCTCACAATTTAGACACTTTTATAATTTAAAATACATATTTATATAAAAATGTGGGTATAGAAGAGTGATGGCGAACCTTTTGAGCTCGGCGTGTCAGCATTTTGAAAAACCCTAACTTAACTCTGGTGCCATGTCACGTATAGAAATGTTTTGATGTTTGCAACCATAGTAAAACAAAGATTTATATTTTTGATATTTATTTTATATATTTAAACGCCATTTAACAAAGAAAAATCAACCAAAAAAATGAGTTCGCATATCACCTCTGACACACGTGTCATAGGTTCACCATCACTGGTATAGAATATTCCACATACTTGAATATAATTGAGTTGACAGTCTTTTCTGTTGATACTATATCTTCTGTTCCATGAGCATTTTTATGGAAAATATGCTTGTGGTTGCAGCAAGACCAGTCATTTCCTTTAAATCTAAATTTATATCCTATATAATAAAGATAGAATATGCAAATGCTCGTTACGCTATCACGGATCAGCAGAAGGGTGGGGCAGTGAGCTACAAGCAGGTGGCGGAGAACTACAGGAGGGGGCAGGGCAGCAAGTTATGGTGGGGGGGGTGCCAAAGGGAGCTACAGGAGGGTGGGGCAGCAGATGGAGAGCTATAGGAGGGCACAGCGAGCTTCTGGCTACCAGCGGTGGCGGAAAGGTACAGGAGGGCGGCAGAGAGCTACTGGTGCACAGATTGGTGCACAAGGCTACTAGTCCTATATAATAAAAGGCTAATATGCAAATAGACCGAATGACGGAACAACTGAACAACTGGTCGCTATGACGTGCACTGACCACCAGGGGGCATGCATGGAACATGGAGGGTGTCGGCCGTGGTGGGATGGTGGAGCAGGTGAGCGGGGGCACCAGACCAAGGCAGGGCACTGGTCGCTGTCATCAGGACGAGCCTCTGGTGGTTACTGAAAATTCTTTGCTCCCGTGCACTGGGGTCCCACCCAGTGCTCGCACCTGCTGCTGGCGCCAGCCCCGCTTACACCCATTGCCAGCGCCAGAGCCGCTGCTCACACCTGCTGCCAGCGCCCAGCACTGGCCCCAATCACTTGGCGCCATCAGTGGGTGAGAGCAGTGGTTGCCGGCCTCGATTGCCTCTCAGGGCTTCTCCATCTCCCCCTGCTCCTGAGGGACAATTGGGGCTGGCAGCCAACTCTCACACCCATTGCCAGTTATGGCCCCACTCACACCCACTGCCAGCACTGGCTGGAGGTGCAAGTGGGGCTGGTGCCATCGGTGTGTGTGAGTGGCAGTGGCGGGAGTGGGGCTGCCAGCATACAGGATACTGGGGGCAGCGGCAGGAGGGGCCGGGCAAGGGCGTGAAGGATGGGCCGAGACCTGCCTCTGTGCCCACCGCAGCCTCTCGGCCCACAGTTTCTTTCAAGGTGCATGAATTTGTGCACTGGGGCCCTAATATATATATGGTTAATATGCAAAGTGTCCCCTCGGGAGTTCAACCGGGAGTTCATTCACTCGCTATGACATGCACTGATCACCACAGGGCAGCATGGAACAAAGGGAGGCCCCTGCTGGCAGCAGGAAAGCCCTGATCGGCCTGATTGCTGGCCAGGCCTAGGGACTCTACCCATGCATAAATTTCATGCACCAGGCCTCTAGCTTAAATATATGCAGTTGTTTAATAAAAACATTTCTAAAAGCTTTTCTAAAAGAAAGGATTTGCTGAGCCAAATGCTAGCCAGAAAAAGAGCCAGGTCCTATGGCAGAAAGTCTGAACCCCCAGCAGCAGTGCTGGATGAAGACATGGCAGCTGTCCTGGAGTTGAAGGACAACAGTTTGGGGAAGAAGATACACATTGTTTTGAAAGAATTTGCTTTGGCTGTAGATAAAGGGGGTGGGGGACGGTCGAGAAGAGCTAGTTCTGAGCTAAATACATAGTCCCTAAGGAAGAAGTGTTTATTCCTGTGGATTGGTTGTGGGTCACAGTCCGGAAAGTTCTAGCATCAGCAAGAAGCGGAGGCACCGGTGTTGGGCTATTTGGCTATTCTCTTTAAATAATCCCAGAAATAGTCACCTTGAAGTTCAGTCAGTTTCAGTGCACACTCAGGAATGTAAGCAGTCTTTTGTTGGTTTTGCCCAGCAGTAATCTCTCCTGTTTCTTCCTTCCACCCTCAGGCCAGTCAGGTTACTTAGCTCATCTCCACTAACCACTGCACATGCTCCTCAGTACTCACTTAGGAGTTCTGAAGTGTTCTACTTTTAAACAGAAATATATTTAAATAATTGTTTAACTTACTAATTATATTTTAATATCAGAATCAAAACACTGCATTAACTAGAACTTAAGTGTAATGAACCCCCTTACACAGTTTCCCTGTTGGAAATACTGCTGACATTACTGTGTCTCTTGACTTCACCTACTCTCCTTGGGTACATGGATGAGGGTAGGTGGCTGTTTTGCAGGTGACTTAGGTCAGCCTACGGAGATGTCTCTGGTAAAAAGGCCTTTACTGGGGTTCATGTCTTGGGACAGAATTCAGCCTTTGAGTATTGTGGGAAAATAGTTTACCACCTTTGTCAGAAGCCTTACCACCTTTGTTTCATATGTTGCTCTTTACTCTTCGGTTCTTCCAGCCTTATTGATACTGGGCCTTAAGGCGTGAATTTCCAGCCTCTGCCAAAGGACACTCCTCTGCAGTCCAGTCTTGATCCATGTTGAGTATATTTTTTATTTTAAAAATCAGTAACTTGCCCTAGGTGTTTTTGCTCAGTGGATAGAGCGTTGGCCTGCAGACTGAGGGTCCCAAGTTTGATTCCAGTCAAGGGCACATGTCCCAGTTGTGGGCTTGATCCCCAGTGTGAGGCATGCAGGAGGCAGCTGATCAATGATTCTCTCTCATCATTGATGTTTCTATCTCTCTGTCCCTCTCCCTTCCTCTCTGAAATCAATAAAAATATATTTTTAAAAATAATAATAAATCAAAAACTTGAAAATACCAACACCATAGCAGTAATAATAATAACAACAACAACATCTCTTAAATTTATGTAGCGGTTACTAGATGTCTGGCACTGTTTTGTATCTTATTTCAAAGTCATTTATTCCTCATGACAACTCTGAGTAGCTACTATTATTATTTCCGTACAGATGAAGAAAGTCATGGTGAGACAGCTTTCTAAGGTCACCTAACTAGCAAGTAGCAGAGCCAGAATGAAAACGGAGGGAGCCCCTAAAAGACTGGAGGGAAGGCTAATACATTAAATGACAGGTTCCAGATCCAGTATTTCAGTATTAACCAGCAGTTGTATCAGGACTAAGTATAAAAATCCTACACTTCATATTAAGAGATCAGTGACACAAGAGTAGGAGAGAATTTTATCCAGTAAGCTGGTGCGTGGAAAAAGAACTGGCTGATTGAAGTGTCCTGGAACTCCAAGTGCTCTGGTGGAGTGGAGCCGTCCCAGTGCTGGAACAGAGGGAGCAGTAACAAAGGCCACCTTGTTTGGTTTCTAAGCACTTTGGAAAGAGCATTATTTACTCTTCTTTTACCGAGTCTGCACCAATTTTAAACGTTTGCCGACTACAACATAAGCACACTAGTCTACAGGAAGCTAGCACACTTCTAAAAGTTCTCTTATTTCTCAGGGATAAAGAAAGCCAGAGAAATGATCTTAACTTCACTTAGTGATTTCCATGACTTTAAATGGAACTCTAATAGATATTATTTTAACGTCTGTTATATATTCAAGTTGTGTAGTAGCATACACTTGTCCAGTATATTTGGGTAGCATGCTTCATGGTGTCATTTTTTAATGGGGAAAAAAAATGTGAGTAGTTAAAAATAAATTTTATTTGATTTTTAGATGTGATAAATGTTGGAATGATACTAAATACTTATTGCCTACTTGTGAAGGTATCCATTGGTAGGGTATGTATGGGAACCATTTATATGATTTATCATAAATAAAACAGATGAGGTGTTAGTTTTAGATTTAATATGTCTGATTCAAATGTTAGAAATCTATAGATATTTTTCCAATACAACTTTCCTATTTATTAAAAAATACTTTGCTTTGGAGTGATGTTCTTTGCACTTGAATATTGATCCTATTTCTGGTTCAGTTTTGATAGGAATTATCATCAAGTAGACTTTATATCACTTAGTGCTTTTTTTTATCAAGTTTTAAAGAATATTAGTCATTTTACTTTGTGATTCTTAGTTAGCAATTCATAAGCAAATAATTAGACATTTTCAGAAGATGCAAAAAGTAACCTAATAATAATCTTAACTCATCTTTTTGACATAGTAAGGACAAACGAGCAGTCCAAAGAAATAAAACTATTTAGTATGTGACAAAGAACTAAAAAAAAGTGTTCTTGGGTTTCTTAGTATTTTTTCACAGCTTGCAGTTCTTTAAACGTTCTTACTGAGTTTTAAATACCCATTTCTTATATATATATTTTGCCTTATCAAATCTTGTTCTGTTTCTTCTCCATCAGTAATTAGTAAATTAGAAAGTGTCCTTACTCCTGGGATTTAAGCCCTATTCTTTTAGGAATAGTGCACATACTGATCAGTGTAAAAATTAGAATTTCTCAGAAATGTCAGCCTCATTTTAGGAGTTATGCTTTTACTTATAATTACTATGTTAGTGAACATCCTGCAGCCTGTCATTCAATTATTCATTAAATTACATGTGAAATGAACCTTACTTATAGTAATTGAAAGGGAATAAGAGAATATGTTAAAGGAATGACATTTTCTTCTATTACTGAACTTACAAAATATTGTCATTTGAAGGTTCTCTAGGGACTTTTTAAAAATAAGTAAATAAGAAATTTTGTAAATAAATTAATGCTACTGAAACGTTTAAAATATATTTAGCTCAAGCTTTATCTTCAATCTTACACTTCTAATTGGCATTGTCTGTGGAAATGTGTTCGGTTAGTTGAGACACCACCATGTTTCTGATGTACTTATAAAAAATTCATGCGGTTTTATTTCTCAGGTTTGTAAATAGATATGTAGAAAAAGGTGGGAACTACACTTAACATTAACCAGAGTTGTTAATCAATTCTATCTATACAATGGGATGTTCTTTTTTTCTAGATTAAGCTTACTGAAAATATTTTTCATTGAATTAATTTTAGTAAAGTAAATAGGACCTATTGGGGGAATTAACCTCTTATGAGTTCTTAGAATTCCCTAAGCCATTATATAGAACTCTGAGAAAGACAAACAGTTGAGATATATAACCACAGTTTTTTGTTTGGGATTTGCACTGATTGAATCAGAAGGAAGATGGTCATAAATATGTCTCATATATTTAAAGGCTGTCAGAAAAAAGGGAGATTCTAGATTTTCCCTTTATTTCAGGAAATAGCATTAGTAACTGGGAGGGGAAAAGTGGTAAAGGAATGTATTAGTGGGGGAAGGAAGGAAAGGAAGGTCATGAGTGGGAAGAGGAGGCAGGCTGTCTTGGAAACAGATGTTAGCTCAAATGAACTGATCTTTCTATCTGGCACAGAAACATCCAACAAAGGCATAAGCTTATTCATGAGGTCGTGAGCCTTTCCATCTCTGCAGTTACTTTCTTTTTAAAATATAGGTTGAAGAAGGATCTAAAAATATACGGCTAGGTTCACTAATTGGTTTGCTAGTTGAAGAAGGAGAAGATTGGAAACATGTTGAAATTCCCAAAGATGTGGGTCCTCCAGCAGCCGCTTCACAGCCCGCAGCGCCTCGCCCCTCCCCAGGGCCACCGACTCCTGTGCTTCTCAAAAAGGAACAGCCACCAGGGACATTGCAGTGAGTATGTTTATTTGAATGAACCACGTGAAAAGTAGAAGCTTTCTCCTTGTGAATGTTTACTCTTTTTAAAATAATATTTTGAAATAGTAACTAATTAAATCTGTGTGAAAATGTGTTGATAGTAATAGAAACAAGATTAGAGCAGATTAACTTATTTGTAACTGTCTATTTTAGCTTTATGTTTTTATTTTTTTTAATTATCAGAAAAACTCGACTTTAGGGTATATTTGAATCAAATATGCGTATTCATTGATCCCACTAATCTTCATGTTTTCTCCTTAGGCTCCGTTTAAGTCCAGCTGCCCGTAATATTCTGGCAAAACACAAACTGGATGCTAGCCAGGGCACAGCCACTGGCCCTCGGGGGATCTTCACCAAAGAGTATGTGTGTGCTTTTCGTAATAACCAATTTCATTACTTATCACGGTCATTATTTTCTCAAAGTATTTAAAGAAGAGCTTATTCAAGCTATGATTTAAAAGAAAGTACACTGTTCCTTTGTGTTTTTAATTGCTTTTGTCTGAATAAAATTGTATGCTATGCAAGGGTTTTCTGAATAATTGCAGCATTACCGAAAAACAGTTCTAATTTGGTAACTAAGTGAGATCCTTGGAAATGGTGATAAATGCAGAAAATTAGAGTTCAGGAGAGTGAAACTGTTGTTTCACGTTTGTATGAAATAAACATGCAATCACATTTAAATTTCTAAAACATGGAAATATACTGTTAAAAACAATTTTATTCTTATCTGTTTGGATATTATTCACTTTTGTATGTATCAAAGTAATTTCCAGATACAGTTGGGTCTCTTTTTAGATTTTCTTTTCTATTTTGTCTATGTTTTTTTGTAATACTACACTCTTAATTCTTCCAAATGAATTTTAAACAATTCTTCTAGCCCCCTGGCAGGGTTTGGCAGGGGAACCTTGGTGTTTGTATTGGGATTGTGTCACATTTTAAATTAACTTAGAAAGAACTGGCATCTTTATGATGTTGAGTCTTCCAAGAACACTGATATGTCTTTCCATTTGTTTAAATTTTGTCTTTCCCTCATCTATTGAAATTTATTCTAGTGGGAAGACAAAGATTAGTCAAATAGGCATATAAACCTAATATAAGGCTGCTGTAGTTATATGTGCCACATTTCTATTGGCGGTAACAGTAAAATTTTTAAATTGAGTTAATGTTTTAAAGCAATATGCTTATTTAAAGAATCAAAGGCTTGACATATTTAGTAATTTCACTATATCCTTTTAAAAAACAAAGTTACCTTTATTTTACACAGTAATACAATGGCAAGTTTATTACTAGTCTATTTTTTATCCTAAATGATGTCGGTTAGGTTTATTACATTAGGTTGTGCTGATAGCCTATTGAGCAAAATTAACAGTGGTGTGATTTTCTGCCATAAACAAGGTAATTAACACTAAACAGTGATTTAGTAAATATCCTAATGAAAATCATAGGCACAATAAACTTCATAATTTCTGAGTGTGAAAATTATTTCACAAGTATAAAGAATGAGGGTGTAGTTTAATTTATGAATTGCTCATATTCCAAATGATAGCCCTTCTCCCCCCGGGAGAGAAAAGACTAATTTCCTTTTTTAAAATAACTATCTATAGCCAGTATGTTAATAAATTTCTAATTCTTTGGTTTTTGAAACTGTACAATTATTGTACTGATTGGACAAATAATATGAATCAGCAGACAAGATTCATTTGTCTAGATCAAATAATTCCTTTTGCATTATGTATTTCTGACATGTATATATTTCTGTATCTTCCCTCCACATCTCCCTTCCATTTTTCTAAAGGTTTTATTATAGTTCTTATTGCTCATCATGGTTATCTAATCCCCTCTCATCTCCAGGGATGCTGTCAAGCTTGTCCAGTTGAAGCAGACGGGCAAGATCATGGAATCCAGACCGACCCCAGCCCCTCCTGTAACTCCCACTGCACCTTTGCCCGCACAGGCCCCAGCCCCGCCATCTTATCCCCGGCCCATGGTCCCACCAGTTTCAACTCCTGGACAGCCTAACATAGCGGTAATGTCATCTAAGGAGATTTTTATTTTTCAGATTTAAGTGGGAGAGAAAATAAGCACCATTACTGTATGTTTCACAAGTACTTTTTGCAATCTATTTTAGTAGCAGCTAAAAGCGATAAAGACAAAACTCTTCAAGTGCTTTGTTTTGCAGAGTTCCTATCACAAACCAAATTTATTTGTACAGTTCTGACTTCCAAAAGGAACACCACAATTATGATTCCATTCAAATTTACTACAAGTTCCACAACTTCAGTACCATGTACACGCTCTGTAATCCCGAAACTTTGCATGTCTTGTTTAGCTAATAATTAGTGGCTGACACTTGCTCCCTTTTGTGGACATGGTTTAATTTTTGACTGAGGAAGTTGATAGGCTCACTATGACAAACACACAGACTAATCACGTTTCTTTTGAGGTATATGCAGTGTAACAGTCTTTGTTTTCAATTTGCTCCATTTTGCCTCTCTCTTCCTTTCCTAGGTTTCATGTCATTTCCTCCCATCAGAAAAAATGCAGAATAATCAGGCTTATTTAAAATTGAATGGGCACTTAAAATATTAACAGGCGGACAAAGAGACAAACCTTTGCTATGTTTTCTAATGGGGAGATAGATTTTAATATAATATTTTAGAAGAATTGAAAATAGTACAAGATTCATAGGAAACAGGTTTTTTTACTGTATATTAATGACATGACTACATATACAAAAATTTTATGTGTAATCAAATCTTAATTTCTTTAAAACCTAAGTTATTCAGATCAGAAAGATAAACCTCACTTTCAAATTCTTACAGTCTATAGAGAGCATTTACAGTAGGTCCTCAGGTTATGTCAGAGATCCGTTCCTACGGCGCAACATAACACAATTTTCGCCATAAGTCGGAACCCACCTACATAAGCACCTACGTCACTCACATGGAAAACATACACAGCAGTAATGAAGTGAAACAGTAAAAAAAATTTTAAAGAAAGATAACAATTCTGGACCTTTACTTGTGGTAAATAAATAGTAAAAAACATAAAGCACATATGTACATACGTCGAAATGACGGAACTTTTTATATAAATAAATGGGAGATGGCGACGTAACCAAGAAACGGCGTACGTCAAGTCCGACGTAACCCGAGAACTGTCTATTCTGTTTGATCAAGTACTTTGTTAACCTAAAATGTTTAATTCTGTAAGAGAGCATTTATCAAAAAGGAAATCAGCTCTACTTTCTGCTTCTGTATTATCCTGAAGTGATTGTAACCCAATACCAGGATGATATAAAGGACAAGGAAGGAATTAGATGTAATTTAAGTCCCATGCTTTTGTTAGAAGTTCAAGGAACAGAATGGAAAGGCTACAATAAAGTTACAGGAAGATTTTATTGCTTATTCATACTCCGTATTTTGAATTTCTAGGATATAAGATATTCATGTGATTTAAAAAAATAACAAATTGAAATACAAATAATTTGATAGATTATCCAGTATATTGGCTTATCTTTTTCTACTTTATGCCATTTTTTAAATATGTTTTTATTGATTTCAGAAAGGAAGGGAGAGGGAGAGAGAGATAGAAACATCAATGATGAGAGAGTATCATTGATTGGCTGCCTCCTGCACTTCCCCTTCTGGAGATCAAGTCTGTAACCCAGGCATGTGCCCTTGGCTGGAATTGACTCTGGGACCTTTTAGTCTGCAGGCTTATGTGCTATCTACTGAGCCAAACCAGCTAGGGCTACTTTATGCCATTTTTATAAATAAAAATTGCTTTTAGTTTTGTTGATTTATTGGCTGCTTTGTGTATTATTAACATATTAAGCACCAAGCCTGTTTTGTTTTCCTTTCCATTTTGCCCACGATATCCGATTTCACCGATATGCCAGCGGCACCAGTGACTGACTGGTCTGGATGGAAAGTATAGTGTCAGTCATTGGTGACTGACATAGTGCTTAATGTGTTAAGAAACTGGAAGCCCAGGGCACAAATTCATGCACGGGTATGTAGCTAGGCCTGGCCGGCAATCAGGGCTGATCAGGGCCTTCTGGCTGCCAGCTGGGGCTTCCCTTTCGTGGCTGCCAGCTGCTGGTTGGGGTCTTTCTTCATTCCACCCGTCCCCCTGGTGGTCAGCACATGTCATAGCGAACAATCAAACTCCCAAAAGGACACTTTGCATATTATCCTCTTATACATATAGATGTTTTATAACAAAAATTGCTTATAGGTGGTACCTCTGGGGTGTGTGTGTATACATGTGCATGCACACACACATCCATGAGGAATTTTTCATGATTTGTTAGATATTTTAAAATCACCTCAAACATAGTAACATAAGTCTCATTCATAACTGAAACTTGAATTTTTCCACTTTCTTCTACACTCATATACTACGAAGTTTTTTTCTACAGTTTTACACTCCTCAGATTTCTTACATTTTTCTTATACTAAGACTTTTTTTTTTTAATCTTAGAGAAAGCAAGAGAGAGAGAAAGACTTCAATGTGAGAGAAACATTGATGGATTGCCTCCTGTACACGCTTTGACCAGGCATTAAGCCTGCCACCTTTTGGTATACAGGAAGACATTCTAACCAACTGAGCCACACTGGCTAGGGCACTAAGAATTTTTAATAGTACTTTTTCTGTATTAATCTTTAATTATTACTATAAGTAACTGAGACCTGATTTCTGTTATGAAATTTATTTTTCCCCTTTCATTTTACATGGTTTAAAAGACAAATTTCTATTCTTGTGCAGGGCACATTCACTGAAATCCCAGCTAGCAATATTCGAAGAGTTATTGCCAAAAGGCTAACTGAATCTAAAAGTACTGTACCTCATGCATATGCTACTGCTGATTGTGACGTTGGAGCTGTTTTAAAAGTTAGACAAAAACTGGTCAAAGGTTAGTAAAGTTGAATTTACTTAATGCAATACGCATGTTAACTATCATAAAATCCTTTATAAAATCCACATTGTGTAGCTTTTTATTTCAATTTCATCATCTTGGAATATATTAGTGCTACACTGTTGGTTTATTTCTTATAAAAAATAAATTGATTCCATAGTATTGCGTAAATCATACTTTTTGATATGATCCTCAAGTAAAGCTATCCTTAGCATTTTAGAAAATATAAAATTTAAAACTGGTTTTAGATTATAAATATGTCTTATGTATCAGTTTTCTTGATACAAGTTTTAATTTTTTAATTACTTCTTCAAAGTGCATTTTAGGTTATTAAATTTGTAATGTTTCTCCCAAAAATCAATTAAAGCTCAGGTTGCTGAGACGTAAGAATTTTTAGCATAAACTAATGTATCATTTATTTCCAATTTGTATGGCTCTTATTTCTTTTTTTAAAAAAATATATTTTATTGATTTTTTTACAGAGAGGAAGGGAGAGGGATAGAGAGTTAGAAACATCGATCAGCTGCCTCCTGCACACTACCTACTGGGGTTGTGCCCGTAACCAAGGTACATGCCCTTGACTGGAATTGAACCTGGGACCCTTGAGTCTGCAGGCTGACACTCTATCCACTGAGCCAAACCAGTTAGGGCGACTCTTATTTCATTTTCTTGCCTTATTGCGCTGTTGAGGACCTCTGTCACATGACGAATATAAGTAGTAAAAGCAGACATTCTCACCTCATTCTTGATCTTGGGAGAAAGTATTGAGTCTTTAATATTAGCTGTAGGTTTTTATAGATTTCCTTTTTCAGACTGAAATTCACATTTGGATGGATGTTGAATTTTGTCAAATGCTTTTTGTGTATCTTTTGAGATAACCTTTCCTTTTCCTGCCTATTAATATGGTGAATTTTATTGATTTCCAATGTTGAATCGACCTTGTTTGTATGAATGATTACTTATAATGAGTGAATAAAACTCATTTAATCATTAATTTTTTCATACTTGCTTGATTCCATTTTCTAAAATTTTGCTAAGAATCTTTACACTTATGTACATGAGGAAATCCTGACCTGTAAGCATTGGAAATCTGTTTTTATTTCTATTCCTAAAGGGATTTTAAAGAAACAGAAAAGTTGTATGTTTCTGAAAATCTGAATTAGAAGAGCTGTGAATTAAATGAGCAGCTGACAGTTACCATGACAGTTTGGCAGTATTTATGTTTATGGTAATTCATCTGCTCTCTTTCTGAAAGCTTCAGCATGCCTTTGGAATGAGGTCTTGTTCACACAAAATTCCATGATACTATAATAACAGGATTTGTGATTCCTGCCACATATCATTGACTAGATCTTGATCTTCTAGAAGCTCTTGCAATAAAGAATCAAGTGTAGTTTACATTTTCCAACACTTCCATACCCACTGGGAAAAGTAAGAGTATAAATCAAATGCTTTAGTTATAGCAGCTCTGTCGGGAGGGAGAGGACCTCAGCTTTATCTTAAAATCATCATGTGGAAAGAAATTAATTCAAATGGACTCACCATAAAACTGGACAGAAAACTTCATTTTACTTATTACACCAGGACGTATACCAACATTGTCTCATCTTTGGCATTTGCTGTATCTTGTTTTGTTAAGTTAAAAAGCAGATCTTATCTAATGCAGTGGTCCAAAATTTTTGTTGTATACCCCATTAGTGAAAAAATTTTGAATATCCCCGAGATATATATTTATTTTATAAAGTGACTATGTGTACCACAGTTCTAATACAGTCAGTATATTTTAAAGCATATTCAGAAAAAGGACATTTGAAAAGGATGAGGAAACAATGAATCATCCTGTTTATATACTAGTACATCTTAGGCCATTTGTCTCTTCAGAGACATAGGAGTTGATTTTCATTCTGCAAGTTCTTGTGTATCATATCTGAGCAATTTAAAAGAATTACAATCAAGGCCCAGAAATAAACTTTTTATGGTTAATACTCGTTGTTCAGGACCTCATATAATACAAGTTTTTCTTATCAGGGAATCTTATTGATAAGCAAACAAATAAAACCTGTCATGTTTTTACCATTGCTTGTCAGTGTAGTAATTTACAAGTTTGAAATCCTAATGGTCAGTGTTAAAGTTTATTACGAATGTTAATTTTAGTTTGCTTGTTTTTCTTTCAGATGACATTAAAGTGTCAGTAAATGATTTTATCATCAAGGCAGCAGCTGTTACCCTTAAAGTAAGTAGCAAATCCCAATAATTTTGACTTCTAAAGTAATCTCACATCTTTGGATTTTTATAGATAAACAAGGAGAAATTTCATGCCATAAACTAAGGATGTTAGGAGATAGAGCAAATTTAGATTATATACAGTAACTAGTAACCCATCGCGCAATATTGCGCACAGTAGGCTGCCCACTGCTTCCACAGGAGCCGACTAGCTCACTCAACTCGTGCATGAATCGCGCACGCCTCCCCCATGTTGCATATCCCCCGGCCCGCCTGAGCCGTCTCTCCCCTTGCCCGACCTACTGACCGACACCCCCTACTTCTTCTAATGCCACTTCTTCAAAAGACTCACCCAGGCTGAAAATCGACTTCTGCGCATGGACCACAAAGTTTCAATCGCACTGTACGTGCACACCTGCACGTGGTATTTTGTGGAAGAGCCACATTCAAGGGGCCAAAGAGCCGCATGTGGCTCGCGAGCTGCGGTTTGCAGACCACTGGCTTAGAGTCACTTAAGTTTGCTTATAATTATGTTAATGTCCACAGTACCTGGGGGTTTTCTGAACTCTGCCTCGCTTTTGCATACTTACAGTCACTCCCTTTTTATTTTATTATGTATTCCTTCACATCCTCAGGTTTATTTTGATAAGAGATATTTTCTTAGAAAACTTGAATCTGTAATTCATTATGATTATCTTGTATTAAGATTATTTAGGTTTATAAATTTTTCTTCAGGTACAACTTATGTCCCATAGGTTTTTGTTTACGATAGCTTCCTAACTAAATTTATTTGCCAAGTGGGGGGTGGTTTTATCTCTTTCATTTTACCATTATCTCTAAAGTATTTTAAATCTTCTAAGAGGTTGGGACTTCCTTATTTATTTTGACTTAGTGGCATTGTTGAATGAGTGGGCGGAGCCTCAAAAGATGGAGAAGCGAAGAGTGAGGAAATGGAAATGAGCTCAGCATGGCAGGGCAGGGCCTGCGGGACTTGGGAAATTCATCTTAAGGGAATGGTCAGAAGTAAGGTTAGGTAGGTAGGAGGAATTGTGTTGTGGATGGCTATGTTTACATTACAGAAGAGAGGTATGGATCTTATTCTGTAGAAAGCAAAGAATTTTTGAGAAGAGATATTTGTTTTTTATGTATATTTTTCAGCATCATTTTCTGCTGTGATACTTGACAACATATCAATCCACATTGTTTCCAAGTATTTAACCATTTCATCTGGTTTTTCAGCCTCAGTGTATTGTATGCATATTAAATATAGACGGGCTCACATGTAGGACATATCATATGTTTATGAAGCTAGAAAATCTCTCTTAAATAAGGAAGTCATTTATGAATGGCCTGCTGGTACCTCCCAGGGCTGTGCTAGAAAATCAGGCTTTCTTCATGCCTCAGGAGTGAGTGGGTAAATGTCACCACTCCTCTTCCCTGTCTACCTTCTCAAGGTCATGTTGGTCAAATGTTGGGGCAGGAAGTACAACAAACATTAAATACTTAATAGCAATCATGTTGTTAACGTAAAAAAAAACGATTGAAACCTGTAAAGAATTTTTGTGAGTTTATTTGAGAAACTGTCGACATATGCCGGGAAGCAGAACCTCAAGGAATTGCGATAATGCTCCAGATATTGGTGGGTTACATCTGTATTTATACTTTGCAATCAAAGGAAAGAAACGTAGGTGGGTTACATGAAATCCACTGGTGATAAACTAGAGAGGCGGGAGAAAGCAAAGGGGGGAGGGAGGGACTCCTGGGATTGGATAAAAAGTAAAATGATGGACACATACTTAGGTGGGTACAAGAATGACTAACATAATGAAGGAATTTGAGGTGTCTGTCCTGGTGCCCAGCACATTAGGTTGTGCCCCAAGGGTTCCGGAAAAAGGGAAGTTACAAGTTACCTAGACATTTCAAAGGGTATGTTATTATAGATGCAAAAAGACAGGCTCAGTTAAGGTAAATGTTGACTTGACCTTGTTAGTGAAAATAGCAGCCAAGGAGGTGACTACCATAACTGCTTTTAGTTAAAGTTTGATTTCAGACCATCCTTTGTAGTTACTTTAGGTCTCTGAGTCTGCAAGGCTGCTATGCAGGCCTCCCCTGAGCCTGTCAGGTTAGCATGTGGCCCCTTTCATCCACAGGGTTTAACAAAGGGAGCCTTTTGTAACCATGATATAAAGGGATCAAAATGTGTACAGCATCAGAATTTCCTTAAGCTTGCTTCAGAAAAGATGGTATGCTTAATTGTTCATCCCCGATATAAAAGGTATTTAACATAGAGATCCAAACCATTTCTTAAACCAAATTTTTATTTCCTTCTGTCTAGCTATATTCACTTTCCAGTGAGCATAATAATTTAGTTATTTTTCTACTCAACTTGGTCTGAAGCTGCTTCTTTAGTAACATGTATTTCTGTTTCTGATTTCTAGCAAATGCCAAGTGTCAATGTAAGCTGGGATGGAGAGGGCCCAAAGCAACTGCCTTTTATTGATATTTCAGTGGCTGTGGCAACAGATAGAGGTTTAATTACACCAATCATAAAAGATGCTGCAGCCAAGGGCATACAGGAAATTGCTGACTCTGTGAAGGTAGGCCTTAAATACTGTGCTTTCAAAATGTTGGAATTTACTTCCTGATAAAGCGTTGACATGATCTGGTCACTCGATGATTGATATGCATATATCTATATGCAATTATTTGTATTTGTATATGCAGTTGTGTTTGTGTGTGTATTTCCAAGTGATTGTCATTTGTGTAAATGGAGTTTAAATTTTTATCCAGATATGATCCATTTATTTATTTTTTTATTATTATTTTTAATCCTCACCTGAAGATATATTTTTATTGATTTCCGGGAGAGATGGAGGGAAGGAGGGTGAGGAGAGAGAGACAGACAGACATCGGTATGAGAGAAACATCGATTGGTTGCCTCCCTTATGTGCCCCAACTGGGGATTGAACCTGCAAGCTAGGTATGTGCCTTGGTAGGGAATTTAACCCACAGCCTTTTGGTGTAAGGGACAACGCTCCAACCAATGGAGCCATCTGGCCAGGGCGCAGATACGACCCATTTTAAGAACATTTAACATTTCCAATTTCTGAA